ATTCCAGGAACCCAAGAGGAAAGTGAATTTTGAGAATGACGAGGGCAACAAATGCATTAAGTGTGCTTTACACAACTGATGTATGTATGGATTGTGATGAATTGTATAAGCCCCAATAAAATGATTAGAGAAAAAAAAAGATATAGCGTCTGTGGTCTTAAAGGCTTGAAGTTACGCAAGCCGCCATTCAGCTGTGAAGCAACAAGTCCACATGGAAGAAGCACACTGCTGATACGATCATGAGGAGTCATAGAGACCAGCAGACACATAACAAACAAAAACATCTTGTTGAGAATGAGGGGGTTGGAGCAGAGACCCAAAGCCTATCTTTAGACAATGGGATAATCTCCCCACAGAGGGGACACAGGGAAGGGATGAGTCACCAGGATGCAGTAAAGAATCAGTTAAGCACACTATAATCCTCTGGTTCCTTGAGGCTTCCTCACCCCCCACTACCAGGACCCCAGTGCTGCTTCTCAATTCAGACTAGACTGGAACATGTACACAGGTTTAGATAAGAGATGGGAGCTCATGACACACAGAATTCAGGAACATGAGTGGGAATAGTGATACCAGAAGGGTATGGGGAAGAGGGGGAGCAGAAGGGAGAAAGGGGGAACCAATCGCAATGATTAACATATAATCACCCACCCCTCTACAGGGGGAAGAACAACAGAAAACATGGGGGAAGGGAGACAGCAGAGGGTGTGAGAGATTAAAATAATAACAGTGTACAATCTACCAGTGATTTATGATGGGGGGGGTGGAGGGTAAGAGGAGCTGATTCCAAGGCCTCAGTAGAAAGTAAATGTCTAGAGAAGAATGAAGGCAACATATGTACAAACATGCCTGATTCAATCGATGTATGGATTGTGATAAAGGTTGTACAAGCTCCCAATAAAATGATATTTTAAAAAAACAAAACCCCAAACCAATGATATCCCTTGTTCCATGCCCTCTTCTGAATCCAGCCTGAATATCTGGTAGCAAAATCTAATCCTGCAACCATAATTGGATAATCTTCAGCAAAATTTTACTTTGCATGTGATATCAATGATATTGTTCTATAATTTGAGCATTCTGGTAGGTTACCTTTCTTCAGAATGGGCACAAATATGGATCTCTTCCAGTCAGTTGGCCAAGTAACTGTCATCCAAATTTCCTGGCATATAGACAGGTGAGTGCTTCCAGTGCTTCACAGGCTGTTGAAACATTTCAATTGGTGGTCCATCAATCCCTGAAGCCTTGCTTGCTTTCAGTGCAGCTTTGCCTTCTTCCTTCAGCACCAATGGTTCTTGCACATATGCCACCTCCAGAAATAGGGGATTGTCATTTTTTGTTACCGTGACTTTGTGTATTCTTCCCATCTTCTTTGGGTGCTTCCTGCATCATTCACTATTTTATCCATAGATTTATTTTTCAATATTGCAACTTGAGGCTTGCATCTTTTCCTTCAATTCTTTCCGTTTAAAATATGCTGAGTGTGTTCTTCCCTTTTGGTTTTTCTCCCTCGAGTCTTTGCACATCGCATTGTAATATTTTACTTTGTCTTCTGCAGCTGCTCTTTGACATTTTCTGTTCAGCTCTTTGACGTCATTTCTCTCATTTGCCTTAACTACTCTGTGATTAAGCAAGTTTCAGAGTATCTTCTGCCATCCACTTTGATCATTTCTTTCTTTCCTGTCTTTTGAATGACCTCTTGTTTTCTCCATGAATGATGTTTGTGATATCCTCCCACGGCTCATCAGGTCTGCTGTCATTAATGCTCACTGTGTCAAATCTACTTTCGAAATATTCTTGAAATTAAGGTGAGATAGACTTGTACTTTGGCTTCTATGGACTTGTTTTAATTTTTTTCAGTTTTATTCTGGATGTGCTGGAGGACCTGGTGGTGTAGTGGTGATGTGTTAGGCTGTGATCCTCATGGTTTGCAGTTCAAAACCACCAGCAGCTCTGAGGGAGAAAGACTGGGCTTTCTACTCCTGTAAACAGTTACAGTCTCAGAAAC